TCATGTAACCGGACCGTGCCCGGCAGCCCCAGCCATGGGAGACACAGCTGTTCCCATTCCCCAAGAATAAACAAGTTGGAGACAGCCCATGACTTGCCCTCCCAAACCTCCCCAGGGCTCATCCTGCTGCCATCCCACCCCACAGCACCCCCATGCCCGGGGAGCGCCCGGCCACCGCCGCTTACCCGCTGAGGAGAGGCTCCTACTCTTCCCTCCTTCCCCCCCCGGCTCAGCCCGGCGCTTTCCTGCTCCGTGAAGGTCAAACTGGCCTCTGGGGAGCCCCCGCTGCCAATCCAGCCCCTGCCCTGGCACGGCACCGCTGCAGCCAGGTCGGGCCCTGCCACGGGCGCTGCCGCCTCCCCGGCACACGCTGTGCCAGTTCGACCACGGAGGAGCCCGCAGGTTTTTCCCACCAGGCTGGGATTTCTCCAGGCGAGCCCTTCGCCTGCCCCGAGCCTGGAGCGTTCCCCGAGGAGCCGCAGGGCCGGGGCTGAGTGTGGCACCCACCCTGCTGCAGATAAGGCAGGAGCTGTAGCCAAGCCCGCTGGCACCAGCTCCCTCCTCCCCTGGGGTGTGCGATCCAGGAGCAGGGAAAAGCTCCCCGTGTGCCGGGTGGCTGCAGCCCCCTCTTCATTTCATCCTCAAAATTCCCTACCCAACGCAATTTCACCAAAATCCCACACAGCCTGGCCAAGAGCCAGCGCTGCTGCCCTTGCTGGTCCCTGAGGCTCCCAAAACTCCCCTGCCCGTCCCCACGCTGGGCATTTCAGGTTTATCCGGAAAGAAAGTTGCACCCATTTAACTAGAGGGGATTTAAGCAGAGCACAGGGCGTGGGGAGTTTGTTTGGAGCTGAATGCGCTCATAGGAAAGGTGACAAAACCCCAGGAGCAATTCTTAGAAGAGACTTTAACGTGGCACAACCTCCTCGGAAAGGCTGTAGGACTGTGGGGATGTGGCACTGAAAGACCTTGAACCTTCCCCAGGTGAGCCCATCTAGGACAACCCACCCACCACCCACTGTAAATCCCTTGGGCATCCCACAGTGCTCATCCCATGCTCCTCCTCCAGCCCTGGAGAACCTACCTCCCCAAAACACCTCCCAAACCACCCCCGTGCCTCCAGGAAGGGAGAATCCCCCACCCCGTTTCCTCAGCAAAGCACTGTCTTCACCTCCAGCCAACTCATGGGTCTCCCTGGAAGGTGAGGAGAAGGACACGGACCTCATCCTGGAGCACAGGGCTCAGCTTCCCGGATTCCTGGGCTGACCATGGCATGGGACCCCATGGGAATCCACATGGAAAACCTGCTCCGACCGAGAGCCAAGCCCCAGGTGGAGGGGCACGACCTTGGACTGAACTGGGGGGGAACCACTGAGGTTCCTCACGTACATACCAGTGGGGGAATGAAAAGATGAGCAGGTGCTTCCTGTGTGCTCAGGAAGGGACCTTCCCTTTCAGCCCTCCAGTGACGAACCCCCATCGCTGCATCCCATCCACCTCTGCACTGGGACCACACAGCGGCTCAGAAAGGCCCAAGTGGTGCCATCCTGGCTCATGGAGGTGATGCCACTTCCTCTTTGGGTGGGAAGAGGGATAACCCCATGCAGGGGAGTTACAAAATGGCTCCCTTTGGGCAAGTGCAGCTCAAGGTGCCCCCAAAAACCCACCCACAAACTCCAGCTGTCCCCAGGGATGGAGCACAGAGGTGACAGGGATGTGCCAGCTCCGTCCCTCCCCATCAGCTGTCTGCACCTCAGGAAAGGAGAAACAGCACTCCAGGGATGAGATCCCTGCTGTGCCATCACATTAGGCCTCCAGCTCCCCCCTCCCGCACCCCATGTTGTGGGAAGACCCACGAGGGTGTTTCTACCCTCAGCACTTGTGGCTTTTTAGGGGGACGCCCCCGGCATGGCCTCCCCAGCCCCGTTTCCCTGCAGGGCTGTTTTTTCCCCGCGGGGTTGTGCTGCTCCAGCCACCCCACCCTCGGCCCTGGGAATGTCCCCCCTGCTCCGATGATTCATCATTTTGTCCCACGGGGCTCTTCCCGTTCCCCACAGCACCGCCAAAATCCAGCAACCGGGGCACCCTCACCTCGGCACAGGGGGGGACCAGGAACACACGTGCCGTAAACTCGGCGCCGCGGAGCGTGGAAAAAGCAATAAAAGAGCTGGCTGGAATCACAGCTCCATCCCAAACACCCGGATGCTGGATCGCCCCGCCGCAGCCAGCTCCAGCTCCACCCCGGAGCGGTTTCCTACTGATAAGGGCGGGCGGCCAGGCCGGCATCCCATGGAAAACACACGCGGCCAGCATCCCTCGGGAAGCAAACCCAGAATCCCTCAGGAAGCAAACCCAGCATCCCTCGGAAAACACCCGGCTCCCCTCCAGGCCCGGCGGGGTCAGCACGTGCTGCCGTGACCCGCCACCACACCCACCCCGATAGCCCAAATCCGGCGGTTTCCCAACTCCGGCCACCCAATCCCCAATTCCCACCGGTGCCAGCACGGTTCTCCCTGCCGGATCCCCCGGCGGCAGGTAAGGGCAGGCTCGGCACCCGCAGCCGGGAGAAACCAGCCCCATTCCCTGCTCTGGCCGGAGCAGCCGTGCATGAAGCCAAGCAAACATGGCAGGGAAGTACAGAGGAGGGGGGGAAAGAAAAAATACCCCGCCGGTCCCCCTCTCCGCTGCTGCCGGACTCCCTGTTATATAAAAAACACAAACTCCCCCGTGCCCCAAGGGCCGGGAACGCGCAGGAGCGCCGGGATTCCTGGAAACGGGCCCTGCTTTCCCCGGACTCGCACCGGCTTATTTATTTATCTTAGAAGAGCACAATAACCACCAGATTTTCTCTGTCGTTCTGTTTGGTTGGTTTGTTGTGTTTTTTTTTTTTAAGGAAATTTCCCCATCATCTGACTCGCTGAAGCTCCGGAGAACACGGGGGGCTGGCGTAATCCTTCCTGCCTCGCAATTAATTCATGAATATCATTAATCGGCGGCCGTAGGTTCGGGGCAGCCCCTCCTATGCCCCCTAAACTCCCCGGGGAGGGGTGTCTTCTTGGTGACCCCCTAAAAGCCGCGTGACACGGGGTACCCCCCACTCCTCCCAGCCTTTGCAGACCCCAAAAGCAGCAGGGCTTGGAGGGGGGGGACACTCACAGGG